CAGAGATAACAGAAAAACCTTTTAACAATTCTTTACGAATTCCGTTCCTTCCCGGTTTAAAGGCTGTTTCAAACTCATTGTCTCTGATAAGAACGAGCCTTGCCAAGGTTGTGCAAGGCTGCCAAGGACACTAGATATAGTTGCCAAGAAATATTTCAAACACAAAGTGTCTCCAAACACCAACCAAGATATTCCGAACCTCCACGAGGCTTGAGTGCAAAAACTTCTTTGCTTCCTGCAAAGAACTCCAGTTTCTCAGCTGGCTTTTATCTCTTAAGGGAGGGGCCATTATCTTGCAGCCTTACTCCCAAGTCGCCCATACTGCTGCAGCTGCTCTTTCCTTTGAGCAGCCCTGCGCGTACATGCACTTGGCACAGGCTCCTCAGGGGCCTCTTCATCGCTGCTGCCAGCCTCCACAATCTCCGAAGGCAGCATTCCACTCCCTGATGGTCCTGGCCCCATCCCTGCATCACACGCAGGCCCCTCATCTGAGTCCTCACTCTCCGAGACCTCAGACGTCCGCACCTGCTGCCGGTGAACCACAATACTTTCTTGCCACAGTTGTTAAGTGAGTCGCTGCACTTGTTAAGTTAGCAATGTAGTTAAGTGAATTTGGCTTCTCCATTAACTTTGATTGTCAGAAGGTTGCAAAAGGCGTTCACATGATCCTGGGCCACTGCAATCATCATAAATTACGAGCCAGTTGACAAGCACCCCAAGCTTGTTCCCATGATCGTGGGAATGCTGCAACGGTTGTAAGCGTGAAAATGGTCACAAGTCACTTTTTCCCCCTGTTGTTGTAACTTCAGATGATCACTAAACAAACTGTTTTAAGTCGAGGACTACCGGTATTAAAAATACGCTGTAACAAAGCTAACATTTTAACATACAAGGAAACATCTCCAATTGTCTTGTCTACTTTCTTGTTTAAAGAATGGAAACCAAAACAGCTCTCTGGACATGTTGGGAACGGATATCTGGGCAGCCAACACTCTGGAATCGTTCAGGTAAACTTACTTTTACTTCTGTAGATGAATATTTTGACTTGCAACTTGTAATTGTCAAAGCACAGTGGTACCTTGTTGCTCAACTGCTTGAAACTCATAAAATCTGGCTCTCAATGCATTTTAACGCAAAAAATTTATCCCAGTACTCATAGTTATTTGGTACTCAACATACAAGCTACAACTTGTCAATGTTAGCTGCCTTGTGACACACTACAACATTCCTTGTAGGAAAAAAGTTGTTTGGTATAATTTTTTGATACTCATCACACCTCCTGGAACCAATTAACAATGAGTACCAAGGTACCACTTTATTCCACAGTTAAAACTACAGTACCTCTATATCTCTCCGTCTTCTGTCTGTCTTCTGTCAATCTAATGTATTTTTCAATATATTAACAATATGGAACAAACAAAAGCAAAGTTTGAAAATAAGAATTGAAGAAAAGAAGATAAGAAAAATAACAAGAACATACTATTATAACTTCCTGCTTTCTTTCTGTCGAGTAATTCTCATCTTAATCTTTTCTCAACCTCTGTCCTTTTTTAATCCTAAATCCCTAAATCCAATGATTTTTGTGTGAGGAGCAGGAACGGATAAGTAAGAGAGAGATGCAGTGATAAAAATTGATTTTAAAAAAGCATCAAAAACACCAAAAGGTAATTTTACACAGATGATCCACACGATGGGAGTAGTACTCTGGAGGTTTCCACCAGCAGTTAGCTCAAGTCCTTGAAGGCAAACTAAGTGTGAAGCGCTTTGTTAAATATGTTCAGGTTGGGGTCCATATGGATCTCAGGGGAAATGGTGCTCCTTAGGGCTGAAGCAGTGACAGAAGTCCTCATTCTGTGTTCTAGCAAATTGTAATGGTAAATGAGAATGACGTTGGGAGACAGGAGGGAGAGCCATGGGCTTGAGAACCATTGTGTTAAAGGAATCTTGATGTCAACTCGTAAAGCATTTCTATGTTGAGTAGCCATAAGCGGGGGGTGGGGGGGAGAGAACCAGAAGTACTTTCCACACTTATCTTACAAAGATTGTAGCTAGGCTACCAGAGCTTCTGCCCATGAAAATCCTTCATTGGAGAATGTGATTGATGACACCCAGCCTGTTCTTTGTTGGAGAATCTGATTGATGAAACACTAAGGGGGGAGGGGGAAAACAGGGTCACAGGGAGTGGTGATATTCAGCTGGTTTGAACCGGTTTAGGTGAACCGGTAGCAACGATTTGGCATGGATCACCAAACCGGTAGTGACTTTTGGCTGGCCATGCCCCCTGATTGGTCGCCACTTGTTCGCTTGCCCCACCCAATGCTCGCTCGCCCTGCCTACCTGACGTTCACCCCGCCCAATCACTCCTCGTATGCTGGGTCCTCATGGCTTGCCTTTAACCTGCCTTCCCACGTGGTGCCTGCGCCCCAACTGAGCAGCCCAGATCGGCCTACTCACAGGTAAGCCTGTGAGTCATGCTAGCCCCCCCATTCCCAGATCTTGCTGGGCCCCCCACTGTTCCAAGATCTTGTGGGCCCCCTCATTCCCGGATCTTGCTGGGGCCCCCACCGTTCCCAGATCTTGCCACCATCCCCACTGCCCCTGGGCTCGGCTGTCTGGCTAAGCTGCCATGCAACGGTCTCCCTACCAGGTGGCAGTTGCGGTGCAGCAAGCGGCGTTGGAGGTGCCCCAAAAGGGAGGGCAGGAACTCCCGGTGCTGCTTCCCGTAGCCACGTCACCACCTGTCGCCTGCACTGCCTCCGCCTGCCACCTCTGCCTTCGTGTTCATACTTGAAGGATCAGTTTCATCCTGACAGCTGAAGTTTTGGTCACCTGCCCTTACAGGTATCAAAAGAGGCCCAACGTTCAGATCCTATTTGTGGGTTTAATAACTTCTCTGGATTCCACCGCTCTTTATTAATTCACATTTTGCTCTGTCGCTCTTGTCATAATTTCAGTTCCATTTTGTACATCTCCATTTACCAGTTGGAACATCAAAGGGTCTTAATAAATGTCTTAGTAATTCAGCTTAAGGACTAATACACATATAATTTTGTTTGCCATCAAATCAGTCAGTTGTCAAAGCTGGAACAAATTTGCAGTGTAGACATTCTCTCGTTCTGATTCTTATGTCCTGACGTACAGCATTCTTGCATGGTATGGGAGCAGCTCTGTAGCAGACAAAAAAGCTCTACAGAGAATCATTAAAATTGCCCAAAATATCACCGGGCTCCAGCTACCAGCCCTGGACGACATCTTCGCATCTCACTGTTTGAGGAAGTTGCACAATATTCACAGAGACTCTTCCCATCCTGCTTACAATCTTTGTGAACTGTTGCCTTCTGACAGAAGATACAGAACAATTAAAACTTGGACCTCATGTTTTCCGAACAGTTTTTATCCCAGAACTATAATTGCACTTAACAATGAACTTAAGGATCACCATCAGTAAGCTGTTGGACATTATTACTTGGTCTGTTGTGTGTTTTTAAGGGGCGGGAAATTTTGGCGGGTGGGGGGTTTGGGGATTGTCATGTGGGTGTGAATGTTGGGACTGGTCTCTGGGTGTTATGTGAATTTTGTTGTATGTGTATACTGTGTATAATATGTACAATGACAGTAAATAATAATAATTATTATTATTATTATTATTTTCACAAGGGCAGAAGGTTTTACCTGGACTGCCTTCTTCACTTCAGTAATATGGTTGGTTTATTTGATTGCAGTCACCCTCAATATACAGCCTTATATCAGTTTCGATAGAACAGAATATTTGTAGTTTGGATAAATTGAGAGCTCCTTGCTGCTCTCTGAGCTTGATTATTTTCTTGCAGACGTTTCATTACCTGACTAGGCAACATCATCAGTGCCCTGGTAATGAAATGTTATATTAGTTTGCCTAGTGCTCCCAATTCCTTGTTAAACCCGGTTACCATTTTACACAGTGTTTCCTTCCAAATCTTCGGCTTTTCTATTTCTTCATATACATTTTTTTTTTTATTCTGCAGTGGGGCCACCTGGGATTTGCAACCAGAGAAACTTGACTTCACACAGTTCCACAGAAAACTTCGCAACACTCCCAAGCATCCTCTTCCACAGATAGACAGAGAAGGGTAAGTATCCGGTTTATACAAAAGAAAGATTTTAAAATGCAAGAAGTCGGTTTTGCTATCCTGATAACTTTCCTGGCTTTGCGGAGGGGCTGGGACTAATCAGAGAATTCTTAGCCATCAGACGGCAGATACCAAGTTGGGGAGAATCAGGATAAACCTTGATCAAAAGGCAGAAATACTTCAGTCCACTTAAATTGTACAGTTTAGTTTAGTTTAGTTTACCTTATTGTCATTGCACCTTGTACAACGAAATCAAACCCCATCTTCAGTGCGCATCATGACTATGAAAATAAACACAAACACACAACCTTCATATTCTATACATTGAATTGAAAACCCCTGATATTGCATTAATATTGCACTATACAGTAGAATTCAGTAGAGTTCCTTCCCTAGGATAGAAGCTGTTTTTCAGCCTATTTGTCCTTGTTTTTATTGTCCTGTACCGTCTGCCAGATGGTAATAGTTCAAAAAAAGGGCGCCCAGGATGAGATGGATCTTTGAGACTGTTTTGAACTTTCTTAAGGCAGTGGGAGCTATAAAGCTCTTCCAAAGAGGGGAGAGGGCAACCCACGATCTTCTGGGCAATGACATTAACCGTCTGGCGTGCTTTCCTATCTGTCCCTGTGCAATTGGCAAACCATACAGAGGTGCAGTGAGTTAAGATACTCTTTGTGGTGCAGCGGTAGAAGGTCACCAGCAGTTTTTCATTCAGTTGTTTCCTGAGAAGTCTCAGGTAGTATAATCTCTGCTGGGCCCTTTTGACCAGGGCTGCAATGTGAGCACCCCAGGTCATGTCCTCTTTTAGGGTAACACCCAGAAACTTAAAACTGGCCACTTGCTCCATTCGGTCTCCATTGATAAGCAAGGGCTGGACGTCTGATCTGTTCCTTCTATAATCCACTATAAGCTCCTTGGTCTTATTGGTGTTGAGGACCAAGTTATTGTCTCCACACCATGAAAGCAACCGGTCCACCTCATCTCCATAGGTGGACTCATCCCCCCCATAGATGAGTCCCACCACTGTTGTATCAACTACAAATTTAGTAATAGTATTACTAGCGTGAGTGGGAATGCAGTCATGCACATAAAGAGTATAGAGTAAGGGACTCAACACACAACCTTGTGGTGTACCAGTGCTAAGAATAAGGGCTGAAGAGGTATGATGACCTAATCTGACCCTCTGTGAGCGGCCAGACAGGAAATCCATAATCCAAAGGCAGATTGAATTAGAAAGTCCAAGGTACAGAAATTTAGACACTAGTCTATGTGGAAGAATTGTGTTAAATGCAGAACTAAAATCAACATCCTCACATAGCGCTTGTGACAATACTGTACACACAGTCCTCAACCTATGACCACAGTTGACCCCAAAATTTGTGTTGCTAAGTGAGACAGTTAAGAGAGCTAAGGCTCAGAATGTATATTTTACAATGTGAGATGTTGACAAATCCATATGAATCTGAAGTCCAATTACCAGTTGTGTCTCGATGCCAATTCACACATTACTGTTTTGATTTGGTGTAAATATTACCAGACACAGATCTATTTGTGTTTGATTTGAAATAAAGATAATAGGAACTATTTCATAAATCTCTTCCCTCCTATTTATTTTAACTGGGATGGGGGAAAATCCCACAGACCAAAAGGCTTTAGAGAAAAATGTTCTTTTCACCCCTTTTCCCCCCACGATTTCCCCTTTTTTCTGGGTCTCAGTATTCCAAGCCACAATTGCACACTGTTTGACTGAGCTACACTGGCTTAGGGGCAGGAAGTGAAAAGATCATTGTGCTGTGTAAATATTAAAGTTTAACATTTATGTGAGGTTTACCTTGAGGAAATAGCAGGTCAGGTATATTATATTCCTGCAAGTCTTTGTATGAAACAAAAGCCAAGGTAAGGAAAGCATAAAGACCCTTGCGAGGAAAGGCAATCTATAATAATAATACTGTACAATGCCCAGAATCCTTTGCAAGCTTGGCGAATAGGAATCTTGGTGGGGCTACAGAATGCATACCCTTGCAAGCATTTTGCCATCATAGAAACATGATACATGGTAACATGAATAAAAGTTATAATCGTAAGAAGAAAAAAATATTATTTTTTGTCTTTATTTGTCCTATAAGTTGAGAAAAACTACCCTGATTTTTCTCTCTCTCCCCCCGCCCAAAAATCAACGTCACCTTTAATTATGTGTGCAGTTGCACACAGGCAAACTACCTGTTGCAGGTCAATCAATTAGGGAAGTACATCTAGTGGGACAAAGGAACAGGGCCTTCTGTGTGGTGGCTCCCTCCCTTTGAAATAGCAATAGCAGTAGCACTTAGACTTATATTCCGCTTTACAATGCTTTTACAGCCCTCTCTAAGCGATTTACAGAGTCAGCGTCTTGCCCCCAACAATCTGGGTCCTCATTTTACCCACCTCGGAAGGAGGGAAGGCTGAGTCAACCTTGAGCCTGGTGAGATTTGATCTGCCGAATTTCAGGCAGCCGGCAGTCAGCAGAAGTAGCCTGCAATACTGTACTCTAACCACTGCACCATCGAGGCTTTTTGCCATTCGCCTAGATATAAGATTGGCCCCCACCTTAATACCTTTTCAGAATGCCCTGAAGATGTGGTTCTGCCAGCAAGGCCTGGGGAGTCCAGGGTGATATGGAGCTGATCAAGTGACTGGTGTGATTGTTTGGTTGCGGCCACTGCTGTGTGTGTGTGTGTGTGTGTGTGTGTGTGTGTGATGAATTTTTGCATTGTGAAATTTTAATCTTGCAAGCCACCCAGAGTCACCGTGTGTGAGTTGGTCAGCCATAGAAATTTGCTTAACAAATAATAAACAGAATACATAAATTGTGCTTTAATTGACCCATCTGTCTATTCCTGGTTTAGAATTGGCAAAGGAAAATGTGAAGAAGGAGATGGAATCAACTTAAACGACATTGGAAAAGTTCTCCCAGCCTGGCAGGTGAGTTTTCTCCCATTCTCTGGAATCTGTATTCTTCGTTTATATACTGTATATATACATTTTTTATTGAAAATTAGATTTTAAAAACACAATTTTTAAGTGATGGTGATCTTTTGACATATATCAACAGTCTTTATATTATTATAATAGCAGAATGTCATCAATCAATATTCACACACACACACACGCACACACACACATCTATATACATATTTACATTATAAATCTTTGTATCTGTTTCTATCTTGGACATTTTGTTGCGGTATAAGCTCTTTCTTTAGTTTCTATTTCACATTTTTTTGACTTCCTTTCACATCCCTCCAATTATATATTTTTTTCCATATTTCATAGAATTCTGCAGTATCTTGCTCCTTCAGTTCTAATGTTAATCTAACTCGGCGCAGTATAAAAATGTTTGTATTATTACTTTGTCGTTAGGTATTTTTTTAAATTTCCAGGTTTGGGCAATTGATAATCTTGTGGCTGTGATAATGTGACTAATTAGATATATATATCTGCTTTTTTTTTAGATTCTCATTTGTTATTCCTAATAGGAACATTTCTGGTGTATAATTTATTTTTAGGGTTAGGGTTAGGCTAAACCTAGAATCTGTATTCTTGTTTGGTGGACCATCTGGATGCCAAAAGGATAATATAGAATAACAGAGTTGGAAGGGACCTTGGAGGTCTTCTAGTCCAACCCCCTGCCCAGGCAGGAAACCTTATACCATTTCAGACAAATGGTTATCCAATCTCTTCTTAAAAACTTCCAGCGTTGTTGCATTCACAACTTCTGTAGGCAAGTTGTTCCACTGATTAATTGTTCTAACTATCAGGAAATTTCTCCTTAGTTCTAAGTTGCTTCTCTTATAATATATATCTTATAATTTATAATAACAATAAACTGTACGACGAACCATCTAACACAGGTACTCCTCCAAGTCACCAAGACTTTTGGCTTCATGTAAGTGACTTACGCCGTGTTTCACTTAACAACTATTGCAGCAACCCCATGTTCACGTCAGCAAAATTCGAATGCTTGCCAATTGGCATATATTTACGATGGTTGCAGTGTCCCAGGATCACGTGAACATTTTTTGCCACCTTCTGACAAGCAAAATCAATGGGGTACCCAGACTCGCTTCACAACTGTGTTGCTAACTTAACAACAGCCGTGGTTCACTTATCGATTGTGGCAAAAAAGTTCATGCCATGGGGAAAAACTCATTTAACAACTGTCAGAAATTTTTAGCTTGAACTGTTTTTGTAAGTTGAGGACTATGTATTTGTATCCTGCCTTTATTATTTTCACAAATAATTCAAGGTGGCTGTGATGACCCAGGGTGAGATACAAAACAAAAACAGTCATAGGAAACAGGTGAATTCCCTTTTATTCCTTCACTTTGCTTCCAAGCTCCGAATACTCTTGATAGAAGACAAAAAAACTCCCACACAAACAGTTACAAGAAGAAGGAAAAAAGACAAACCAGGCAAGATATAAGGGCTGGAGGATGTCCACAGATAACACACCTTGGGAAGGACGCCAAACTCAGAGAGGAACCATAAACTAGAGAAATTTCCATGCTTTGTTTCCAGCGTTCGCCCGTACACATGTCTGTCCATTCAGTTGTCACAGCTGCAGCCCATGAAGAGGATCAAGGCCCTCTCCTCCTGAGTAGGCCACGTCTCTCCCTTATCCTCTCTTCCCTGTGTGCCCTAGGATGAATAGGGGATGGGCCTGGGTCCTCTTCTGACTGCCCAACTGGCCTCTGCCCTTCCCCAGCCTCCTCCACAATCTCCAGAGTCACACTTCCACTCCCTGTCAGCTGTTCCTCCTCTCCCTCGGCGTCAATCTCCACCAGGGGCATGACAGTGGCGAACATATCCAACACAACTGCCTCTTCCTATTTTCCCCAAAATAACAACCCTGTGAGGTGAGTTTGACTGAATGGCTGGCCCAGTGTCATTCAGCTGACTTTCACACCTAAGGCAGGACTAGAACTCAAAGTCTCCTGGTAATTGGCCCAAGATCATCCTGCTGTCTTTCATCCCTAATGCAGGACTAGAATTCACAGTCTCCCAGTTTCTAGCCTGGTGCTCTTAACCACTAGACCAGGGGTGTCAAACTCAAGGCCCACGGGCCGGATCTGGCCCGTGGTATGCTTAGATCTGGCCTGTGGGGTTGCCCTGGAAACAGCGAAGGACCGGCCCACGGTGTCTGCCAGCAAGAACGCAGCTCGGGAGGTCCTCTTGAGCGCCATTTTTGCTGGCAGAGGGCTGCAGGAGGATCCCCCCCAGTCCTACCTGGGCCACCACAGGTGACCACAAAACAAGTGATGTCAAGCTGGCCATACCCCCCCCCCTCGACCACACACCCCATCACCTCGAGGTCGAGCACAACCCTGATGCAGCCCTCAATGAAATCGAGTTTGACACCCCTGCACTAGACCAATGGCTCAATGAACCTGGGCCATTTACCTCCCAATTTTCGTTTGGCCCTCAAAAGATATCACATATGTGTCAGGATTCCATCAGTTACCCCAATTAAATCATGAGTCTCGAGCCAAACTTCCAAAATTAAACAGGATTTATTGGGAATTAACATGTCAGCATGACTTGGGTGTAGCCGACTCTGAGACACTTAATTCATTGTCACCCTTGATCCCACCCCCTGGGTGTATCATAATTCCTATTCTCCAATGGGACACATCCATAGCCAAGAGTTCTCCAATTAGATTTTTGTGCGGCAGAAACTTCAGTCACCTAGTTACAATCTCTGAAAAACTATGAATGGAATGTACTTTCAATTCCAAGCTGCTGCAATGCTCTTTCAAACCCCTTTCCCCCGCTCCCTTTCTGTTGGCAGATATAAAACGGCCATAGAAATGTTTTATGAGTTGACGATATGCTTGATGTACTAGCAGAGACCCATGCAAGGGGAAGCAAAAGATCAAACAAACAACATTGCACTATTATGACACAGGCTCCGCCCCTTTTTCTATGTACCTCAGGATGATGCTCATTTTGTCATTTTCGTCAAAGCATCGGATCCCATGTTTACTTTCTAAGATATGCGTGCAGTGATATAGTAGCAATATCTAGACCACTGGTGGTTAACCTTTCTGGGCTCCTGTGCCAAAAATTGTGCTTGCGCACACACACTAACATGCCAGCACCCAGAAAACAATGTGTGCGCCCCCCCCCCACACCGGCCCCTTAGCTGCACTGTGCCTCATAGCTGATTTTTGGTCCTTTTGAGGCCTTTTTCGGCCCCCCAGGGGCTTGAGGACAGCTTCTGCAGCCTTTGCAGGCCGAAAAATAGGCCTGTTTCATCACTTCGGGTATTACAGGAAGTGACAAAATGGGCCTATTTTTCAGCCTGCAAAGGCTGCAGAAGCTGTCCTCAAGCCCCTGGGAGGATGAAAAAGACCTCAAACGGCCAAAAATCAGCTGTGAGGCACATACATGTGCAGTGAGGTAAGTTTGCCTGAGGCTTGCGTGCCGGCACAAATGCCTTTTCATGTCACCTGTGGCACTCATGCCATAGGCTCGCCATCACGGATCTAGGCCTTAATAGCAGATCAAAACTACAGGTAATCCTCAACTTGTGACCATTTGTTTAATAACTGGGTTGAAGTTGTGGCAGACTTCCCAAAAGATACTTAAGAGTCAGGTTCAAAGTTACAATGGCCGCTTCCCTTCTGCATTCACGTGATCACATTTTTGGGCACTTGGCAACTGTTTTCAGGGTCCCATAATACCATGACTACAATTTATAACAAATTTTTTTTGCCGGAAACCAGCAAAAAAAATACTTTCCAGTTTCCACCAAAAAATGTCCATTGTGAACATGGGTTCGCTTAACGACTGCCACGTTCACTTAATGGCCACTGCAAAAAAAAGTCATAAAATCATGTCAGACATCTCAGTGCCTCAACTTCTGATTGTCATGATATACGATGGAAATTCCCTCCTCCATTACAGTCATAAATTGAGGATTACTTTCACAAACGCGCTTATTTTTATGCCAGATTTCTCTTGTGGCTTTCATCAAGAGTGCTTGGAATCGAAGTTGCCAGTTGCCATTGTGAATTCTTTGTTTAATGAACCTTTTCCCCTCCTTTGCATTACTGCAATTGTCAGAATTCTTTTCCGGGCAAGGATGATGGTCGTCAGGAATTTGGGTGTGCCTTCTGGGCTCAAGCATTTGAATTTTACATTCCAGCTTTCTTGCCTGGGATATTTTCTGGACTATCATGGCTCCATCTTGTGGCTGGGAATGGACACAGCAGGCATCTGCTGAAGTTCTAACCAAAAATAGAGGAATTGACGTGTTTTCTGTTGTTGCTTCACTCTTGATTTTGTTCATGGTGAAGTTTTTTAACCATCCTTGTCCTGCTGGATCCCTCAGCAGCTTTTGAAACTCTCAACCATAATATCTTGGTTGGAAATTGGAGATAGCATACTGTGGTGGGGCTGCTCCATCCTGAATCGGTGGATCCGGTTGGGTTTTGGGAGGTGAGAGGAAATAACTTGGATTCCCTGTTTCTCACGGTTTAACGTAGTTCTCTTTCCCTGGAATTGCTTCTGAAGACCATCCAGAAACTTCAGCGGGTGCGAGGTGCAGCAACACGTACCCCTCACCGAGCGGTGTGGTTTCTGCCATGTTGTATCACTTGTTCAGGAGTAGGTTTGGTTACTTGGGTGTTTCGGAGTGCAGTTCAGAAAGTTGGTTGGTTTGTTCTTCCTGTATAACCAGAGGTGGTATTCAGCAGGTTCTGACCGGTTCTGGAGAACCAGTAGTGGAAATTTTGAGTAGTTCAGAGAACTGGCAAATCCCACCTCTGATTGGCCCTGCCCCCATCTCTTCTCTGCCTCCCGAGTCTCAGCTGGGTCTTCTGTTGTTGCCCTACACAGGACAACAGAGCTGGAAAGCAGGTTAGTGAGGTGGGGAGGGAAGGGGATTTTGCAGTATCTTTCCCCTGCCACACCCATCAAGCCACGCCCACCAAGCCTTGCCCACAGAACCGGTAGTAAAAAAAATCTGAATCCCACCACTGCGTTTATCCTCTGTCAATCCAACCCAAGACCGTGGAGAAAGTCTTCTGAAAGTCTTGACAGCTGACTCACATTTATGACGGTTGCAGTGTTCTGGGGTCATGTGATCTCATTTTGCGACCTTTTTGACAAGCAGAGTCAATGGTGAAGCCAGATTCACATAACAACCGGTAGCAGTTGCAGTGATTCACTTAACCAATGTGGCAAGAAAAGTCGTAACATGGGACAAAACTCACTGAACGAATGTCTCAGTTAGCAACATACATTTTAGGCTCAATTGTGATCATAAGTTGAAGACTACCTGTAGTTTCTGATGCTAAAGTGCTTCCAATCCCTGGAAATCACAAAGAGAATTTAAAAAAAAACCTCTTTTGCTTGTTCATCACCCAGAAATTTAGAAGAATAAAGATAGTGGGATATCACTATCTTTAGGAATATAACACTTGAACTGCAAGAGGTTAAAGCAACTTTGCATTCATTTATTTTTTTCTAAAAAGAGGCCAGTTTCATTCTTGCCTCTGGTGCTAAAAAGCCTCAGATTACTGCGGGCTCCATCTGTGTCATCGAGACAGTTGCATTTCAAGGCGTCAACGAAATCAACTTTATGTAGGTCACCTCTTTTGTGTTGAAATAAAACGAAGAAAGGAGATTCAAGCATGTGTCTTTCTGCTCTGCTGAGAATGCTTTTTTTTTTTTTTTCTAAAAATGCTCTCTTTTTTTGCTAAAAAAAAAAAAGTTTTCTAAGAACTGGCTGGTGGCTTTCTCCACTTGTGGCAAATTAGCCTGAAGAAACCAAGTTCTTATTCCATACTCCATCAAGAAATGTTTGTTGTTATTGATAGCCAGCAGAGGGCAGCATATATTCACATTTGATTTGGCACAGTTAATCAATCTAGCGAAGGTAGTGTGTTCAGTTCTAACCATGCAGCGCAAAACAAATGAAGCTGCCTTGAAGGACAGGGAAGTCCTCAACTTAAGACCACAACTGAGCTCAAAATCTATGTTGTTAAGTGAAAAATTTGTTAAGTGAATTTGTCCCGTTTTACAAATTTTCTTGCCACATTTGTTCAGTGAATCCCTTTGGTTCTTAAATTAGTAACACGGAGGGTTTTTTTTGGCAGCTGCTGCACACTGCTGGCTCATATTTAAATGGTTGTCTACTAGGACTCCTCTCACAGTTACTACTACTGAGCAAGGTACCACCTGTACTGTACCTGAGCATTTGATTTTTCTTGCCTAAAACCTTTTTTCACGATTGAATTTCATTTCGTTAGTTAGTGCCCAGTGTTCAACTGATTGTTAAATGAATCTGGGTTCTCCATTGACTTTGCTTGCCAGAAGGTTGCAAAGTGACTCCTGAAGACTGCAACTGTCAAAAATACGAGTCAGTTGTCAAGTATCTGAATGCAAATCACTTGACCATTGGGATGTTGTAACTTCAAACGGTCACTAAATGAACCTCTGTAAGTGTGATGACCCGGGGCGTGGCACAAAGGCAACACAGTCAGATAATCGGTAGGAGTCTCTTTATTAGCTCCAACTTTGCCCCCAATGTCCTGGTTACCTTCTGGCCGGAGAAAAACTCACCCAAGAACAGTCTTTGGCTGCAGAGAATCAAGTCCAAAACGTGGTCAACAAAAACTGTTACTGTAAGCCCAATCAAGGCAAAATGAGGTAATTAGTTCGGCAGGGCAGGAGCAAGAATTCCAGATGTGAAGGCACGGCAATAACTCAACACAGTTGGGAGGATGCCAGGAACGCAGATAACCAAAGTCAACACAAGATAAACTCACAAGTTTGCTCCCAGCAGCTGCCAAACTCAGCATGTATTTCTTTTAAACTCTCATTCCCTGGTGTGGCTAATGAAGGGAATCAGGGCCCTTTCCTCCTCCATAAGCCACACAACCCACGTTGCTCCCTTCTCTGTTCCTGCCATCTCCTAGGATGAAGAGGAGGTGGCCTGGGTCTTCCCCTGAATTCCCTCTCCTTTGTTCTACCTCTTCCCTGCTCTGCCCAGCCGGAGTTTGCCCTTTCCCAGTTTCCTCCACAGCCAACGGAGCCACACTCCCAGTCAGCTGTTCGTCTTCCTCCTCTGATTCAGACTCTTGACAGGGGCATGACAATAAGTCAAGGACTACTTGTCCAGATGAGTAATATAGGTAGTTCTCAACAAGCACAATTGGGACCAGAATTTCTTTTTTTTTTTTAACAAATTTTAGTCCGTTTTTCACAATAAAAACAAAAATCTCTTTTTAGTGGACAACTTATTTCCGGGTCATCACCTTTACATACAAATATGACAGCAATTATACATTCATATATGCATACTTAATTCTATTATTGCCTTTTCCATTCCAAATTTTCAATAAGGAGAGAAATAAACACATTAATTCTAGCCTCTTTCATTAATCTCAATTGAAACATCTTTTTGTTTCATTTCAATTATTTCAAATATAATCCTTTAATATTTATTTTAAAAATAAAGATAAATAATATATGTTTGCCTAATAATGAGAATAATAAAGTTACCAATGTCTCTCCTTGCTTTTAATAGTCTATATTAACTTATTAATTTAGTTGGTT